GATCCTCCTTCCTCCTCTTCTCGTCAATGGATCATTCTGCTACATCTCACACCGGCGTTCAAGGAGCTTCGATCTCGCCTGATGCTTCTGATCCGGTAATACCTTCGAATCTTAAGTTCCTGGTGTCTAATATCAAAAACGTCGTCACCATCTCTCTGGCCGCGGACAACTATACTCTTTGGCGATCTCAAGTTCTCAAGATTGTCTGTGCCAATGGCTTTCAACAATTTCTTGATCCTGATCTGTCTCCACCACCGCAAACGCTAATCGCCTCTGACGGTTCGTCCACTACAAATCCTCTGTTCTCCAAATGGCTCCTCACAGACCAGAACATCTCTGCCTCTATCTGCTCTACGATTTCCACCACTGTTCTTCCTTATGTTATTCATCTCACCACCACCTCCGCAATCTGGATCTCTCCAATATTCTTCACTCACCCTCTCTTCAATTTAATCTTCTGTCCATTTCCCAATTAACTAAGGATAACAATATATCCATTGTGTTTGATCCTAATGGCTTTATTTTGAAGGACTTGAGGACGGGCATGGTTCTTTGCCGAGGACCATGTAAAGGTGGGTTATATCAAATCCCCACTGGTAACACTCAACCAACGAATAAGGCGCTTGCAACGGCCACATCCTCCACAGCTAAGTGGCATCAACGGCTGGGGCACCCGCACAGCAGAATTTTCAACACCATCTCTACTTGTAATCCTAGCCTAGCTTTAGGAAAATATGATTTACCTTGCAACTCGTGCAACCGATCTAAATGTCATAAACTTGCGTTTGATCACTCGGATCATAGTAATAAATCGCTTCTCTCGGTTATCCACTCTGATGTATGGGGACCGGCTCCGGTCGTCTCGAATCAAGGATACCGATATTATGTCATCTTTATAGACGATTATTCGCGCTTCACTTGGTTTTTTCCCTTAAGATTTAAATCCGAAGTGTTTGAAACGTTTGTTCATTTTAAAATATAGGTTGAGAATTACACCTCAAAGAAAATAAAAATTTTTCAGTCTGACTGCGGCACCGAATATGTGAATCACGCCTTTTCATCTTTCCTAAAACAAAATGGGATTATACATCAAAAATCCTGCCCATACACACCTGAACAAAACGGAGTTGCGGAAAGAAAACATCGGCATATAATTGAAACCACACGAACGCTTCTCGATACGGCTGCTGTTCCTTATGTGTTCTGGCCGGATGCGGTCTCTACGGCTGTATACCTTATCAACAGGTTACCATTGTTGCAATCATCCAAAGTTTCTCCGTTTGAGCTGCTCCACAAGATCAAACCTCGGTATGATCATCTCCGGGTGTTTGGTTGCGAGTGCTTCCCACTCTCACCACCGCAGACTCGACACAAATTTCAACCCAAAGCTTTCTCTCATGTGTTCATTGGCTATTCCGACACTCACAAGGGATACAAGTGCCTCAATACTCAGTCCAACAAGATCACCATATGCCGGCATACTAAGTTTAACGAACACATTTTTCCTTTTGCAAACCATACTACTGATTCTTGCTCCGTCTCTAAACCTGATTCTATTGCTCCGCTACTACTTACCCCTGTATCTGTGCAGTCTCAAACTATCTCTCCACACCCATCTCTTCCTCAGCAGCAACCGAACACTCAGCTCAATCTGGACTCCGCGCTACCTGTGTCAACTCATGAAAGCTCTGCCTCAGTCGCTCCGTCTCTTATAGAACAACTTCCTCCACGGGCTCCAATGCATCCCATGATGACTCGCAGTAAAACAGGATCTCTTCGTCCTATTAACAAACTCAATCTGCTTCATGATCATAAGCAGCCTCTGCAAGAGTCAGATCCAACTACATATACGGAAGCTGTAAAAAAATTTGAATGGCATCGAGCAATGGCGAATGAATTTCTAGCGCTTCAACGTCAAGGAACCTGGACATTAATAAAACCTCCTCCAAACGCATCTATTCTAGGTTGCCGGTGGACATACAAAACTAAATATCACTCGGATGGCACCATTGCCACCCATAAGGCTCGTCTAGTGGCTCAAGGGAACCATCAGCAATATGGACTGGACTATGGGGAAACTTTTAGCCCGGTCGCAAAGCTTCCAACAATACGCATTCTACTTGCAGTGGCACTACATCATGGATGGCCAGTTCAACAACTGGATGTGGCAAACGCGTTTCTCTATGGCCATCTGACGGAGACGGTGTATATGACACAACCGAAGGGTTTCGAAGATCGCACAAACCCGGACTATGTATGTCATCTTCAAAAAGCCTTGTACGGCTTAAAACAAGCACCGCGTCAGTGGTACAACACCTTCACAAACACCTTATTGAGCCTCGGTTTCGCGCATAGCAAGTCCGATCCTTCTCTGTTTCTCTACACAAAGGCGAAGGTTTGCATTTACTTAATTATATATGTTGACGATATTCTTATTACAGGAAATCACTCGCAATCCATCAATGAGATTCTTGCTAAATTAAATAAAGAATTTCATATGAAGCATCTCGGTGAAGTATCAGAATTTCTTGGAATCAAGATTACTAAGCAAGAAAATAGCTACTTCCTGTCTCAAGCAAACTACGTCAATCACATTCTACAACAAGCTCAACTAACGGTGTGTAATGAGCTTGCCAATCCAACATGCACTAAGATCCCGGACACATACAAAACAGAATCTGAACTTCAAGATCCAGCTCTCTATCGTCGTCTCACAGGGTCGCTGCAGTACCTAACCATTACACGACCCGATATTTCGTACAGTGTCAATCTACTCTCGCAGCACATGCACGATCCACAGCCACATCATATCTACCTTCTAAAGCGTCTTCTACGATATCTCAAAGGTACGTCCACATATGGTTTACCGGTCACAAAAACTGATCTTAGTTTACAATCTTATTCAGATGCCGACTGGGCTGGAGATCCGGTTTCAAGAAAATCTACCTCCGGTTACTGCTCCTTCTTGGGGAGCACGACCATTTCCTGGACGGTTAAGAAGCAGCACACGATATCTCGGTCCTCCACGGAGTCCGAATATAGAGGATACTAGGACGCATATCTGAAGCTCCTCACCAGCGGCACGTCAGTATTGGTATCATGAAGACTACTGATCAGGATGTGATCGGTACCTTACTCAAAAGGAATCCAACCAATCATTTATTGCGACAGTATGACATACTGTCCCAGCAGATTGCTATTGTGCTAAACCGAATCGCAGTTCTTTGCAACGGCCAACGAACACCTCATGAGATTGATCAAAAACTTTGTTGCGCGACCACATTCAGCAAAAGAAACATCTCAATATTGGCCAATCAGCCAGCCGAACGACCAGGTGGCTGATATGCTTTACTAAGAGCGCTTCTTAACAACCTCCATGATTCCATTTCCAAAGAAAACTTTCGTCCAAAATTGACAGTTACTCAAGACCCATCAATTTTGCGGGGGAGTAGTTAGAGCACCATATGTAAATATATATAATTAATTTATTATATATATATGATTATATCTAGTATATCTATATTATCTATATATATTTTTATTGTGTTGTATGTAGTATTACATTTTATTAGCTTCAGATATATAGCCGATCGTGTCTTTATAGGATTTGTCCTTCTCTTCTTGTTTCCCGTACTGGCTAGCCTATATATATGCGCTCTAGGGGTCATCATGTATCTGCATTCAAGATTTACTTACAATAACAGTTTCTTTCTCCCTTTTGATAAATTCGTTTTACTATAGACCCAGTTTTTCTCAATTTCATCCATATTCTCCAATACACCCAGGACGTAAACACTCCCCACTAGGCCCCGAAACCCGCTCCACCCTCCAGCCTCTAGCTTATTGCACCTCATAATGGCACTGGCTACTTTGTTGATCACAACGCTCACTCCGAACATATTTGCTATGTTTGCCCTCGCTTATTCGCCCCTACATTCAGCATAATATAGTAACTACTAACAACAAAGAATTATATTCAACAAAGTAATTAAATTTTAAATTTAAGATACTTAGTATTTTAAATTGAAAAAATAAAATCTGCCATATATTTTAAAATCATTATTTAATATTTATAATTTATTAATTATTTAATAAAAATTAATATATATTGCATACACGCTCAACTTTATTAAATGGCTTCGTCGTCGGTTCCGTATCCACTGGCGAGACCTTTCCGTCGCCAGTTGCTCTGCTCGTTCATTTTCATTGCCCTTCCCTCTCTGCCCTTCCTATCTATCTTTCTCACTTTTCGAGCCTCCAGTAACTTCCTGCAAGCTAAGCCATTCTCCTTCTCATCAATAACTCCTCACAAAGCTCAAACAGGTGCGATGATCTTGGCTGCTTGTTTATGAGCATTGGGGATCATTGCTTCTTAGGAGGCTTTTCTTCTGATGAACAAGAGGAGCTGAGCGAATGGCTTGAAGGAGTTAGGATTTAAGATAGTAAACAATCTAAAGGCTTTCTCTATGCTGTTTCCTCTGTATTTCCCTGCAGGTTAAAGATTGCTACAGAAACAAGTAAT